ATAACTTAGGGTTACTTAACCTGGATTTCGATACCCTGCATCGTCCAGGCTGGCCTGGAACTGGTGTCTCCTGCCTCAGCTTCTTGAGTGCTGGGATTATGTGTGACCACGCCCGGCTCACTGTGATGTTCTTGAGAGCCTGTTTTTCACGTTTCTTTTCATGTTTGAGTGGACAGCTTATTTCCATGGTTGATGCAGAGAAACAGCATCACAAGGCACTTGCTGCTGATTCCAGCTCCCACCTGGCCCCGCCGCTGCACCCACCCCTCTTTCTCAGGCGCCTCGGCAGGTCCTGCTGTTACCTTGTCACAAACAAGGGCCACGCGCCTATCTCACACATTGGGGAGCTGCTACTGCTAAGAGCTCCTATTTTCAAAGTCGGTGGGTTTCAATGAGGGAAATATTTTCTTTCCTTTGAAGGCCTGTGATATGAATCCCTGACTAATCTTGGTCTAATCACTCCTTTAAGTGAGGCAAATCTTCCTGTGACATTTGATTGACATTATTAGTAATTTATACCTTCAAAGGAAGTCAAATTATGAAGAAATCAGTAGGTAGGGTTCTTAATTACTTTAATACACACTAATTAAAATGTCTATTGCTGACATTTTAAAGAGTAAAGATGTTTATAATCTGAGTACAACGTGGTACTAAGAGTTTAGGGACTTCTGAGTTGAAATGTTATGGCTACACAGAAAAATCAGAGTATTGTAAGTTTCAACTATTATTTTTTCCTTTCAGTGCTGGAGATCAAACCAGGAGCCTTCCGCATGCTAGGCAAGCAGTCTCCCTCGGAGAGATTTGCCTAACCTTGAACTTCACACTCTGAGGTTCACCATTAACAACTTCCCCCAGAATATAGACACATTATTTGTTCTTTCCAGCAGAGGCATTCTGCTAACAATAAAGTCAAATTTCTGGGTAGTAACCTGCAGTGCTGAGGTCTTTGTCAGCTCTTCAGCATATTCTGGGCAAGGCTGGCTTCCTGGCCATGTGAACCTCTACACTCACATAGCATCCTGAGGTGGCATATACCTGTGATCCCAGCACTGTGAGAGGCTGAGGCAGGAGAGTGGCAATTTCCAGCCCAGCCTAGGCAACTTAGTAAGACCCTGTCTTGGGAAAAAAATGGGGATATAGCTCAGTGTAATGGTCTTGGGTTTAATCCTCAGTACTGCAAAAAACATGACAAAAGAAAAAAACACCTCATGCATGGTTTAATGATTTTACAATTCTTAACAATTTTTGACCAAGAAATCCACATTTTCATTTTGCACTAGATCTCACACATTTGTAGATAATTCTGTTGTGGGTTACTTTATGACTTACATCTAGGTGTCCCCCCAAAGCCTAAAGAGCTCATAGGTGGGCTTTTGAAAGTGACTGGATCACAGGTGTGTGACATTAGATTAATCAATATTGTAGTTTGGGGTTTACAAGGGGGAACAATTTAATACAGGGCACATAGTTTATAGAATTATTTTATAATAATCACCCAAAGAGTCATATACAAAAAGAATGTGGGAACTCTGTCCACACACTAAAGACCAAAGAATCAAGCTGAGGGCCTGGATCCCATGGTAATGTCATGCATGAGTTCAGCTGAAGACCTGGGGCCCACAACAATGCCCCCCACGAGTCCAACTGGAGGCCTAGAACCCATGACAATATCTCATGCAGGCCTGTTTCATGGATCTGCATTGGGAAGCCCCAAAGATCAGTGGTGGGAGCTAGAAAGTCTGCACCAGCAGGATGAAGGATCTGTGCCAGCAGGCTGAGGGATCTGAACTGGAGCCAGGAAGCAATGCTCAGTAAGAACCAGAGCTCCCCTGAAAGATACCACAGCCATCCTCAGGGACAGTGAGGTCCTGAGCTCCTCCCACGATGAGAACAGCCGAGCTCCTATTAGGAAAGCCAGTGCAAGAAGCTTCTCCAGGAGACTGAGCAGTGCACCATCTTCTCCGCTGGAGCCAGGAAGTGATGCTCAAAGTGAGGACCAGAGCTCCCCAAGGTGAATCATAGCCATTCTCAGCGACCACAAGATCCCACGCTCCTTCGATGATGAGACAGCCGAGTTCATCAGGGAAGCCAGCGTAACAAGCTCCTCCAGGAAAACCAACAGCTCCCAACAGCTCCCTACAGCTTCCCTGACAGCTTCTCCTCTTCTTCTCCAGTCCTGCTTCATGCAGCTAGCAACAGTCCTCGGGTGGGCTCTCCACACCCAGCACCACGCTGGTTCAGTTCAGCTGGGGGTTACAAGTCAACCACCAGTTGTCAACTCACCACAGCCAATGATGGGTTTAGCGTAGTTCTGGGTGTGGATAATGGATTTATGAAGAGGTGAGACCCACCCTGGGTGTGGGTGGCATTGACCAATGGGCTTGTAGCCTCGATGGAATAAAAAGAGAAAGAAGCAGGCTCTCTGCTTCCTGCCTGCCCTGCCATGAACTGTTTCTCCTCTGTGATGCCCCTCTGCCACACCTCCCTCCTTGAAGCCAGCAGACTATGGACTGAAACCTCCACAAACTGTGAGCCAAAATACGCCTTTCCTCCTGTAACTTGTGGCTGCCGGGTGCTTTGTCCCGGCAATGAGAAAGTAACTCACACAGTTATGAAACAGACATCTGTCTGCCCTCACCTGCTTTTAGTAACAGTTAACAGAAGTTAACTTGTTGAATTATCCTTCTTTTACCCCCACTGACATAGGCAATAGAGAAAATGAAGTACTTTCATTGTAACACGTCTTTGCTATAACAATATGGCTGATTTATAGTTCTGTCTTATTTTTATATTGCTTTCTACTTCTAGGTTTATTATACATTGTGTTTACTAGAATTGTTCCCAGCGAGATTCATCTTCCTGGACAGTTATGCTGTGGATCGAGCATTCTGAGGTTCTTGTACAAGCACGCAAGTGTAATTGGCTCATAAATTGCTAAAGAAGCAACTGTCAGCTGCCTTCATTATACACCATAAGGCTCCTTCTAACACAGTCTTGGAGGTCTAGATTTCAAACTCACCAAGACAGTATGACAAGAATAACCATTCGCCGAATTCAAAGGCCATTTCTGCCAATGCATTAGCATTTAGTGCTTGTTGCAATTATAGTAGGGGACATTGTTCTGTGAGCTCAGTTCCAGCATCTTCAGGGAAAAGTTAGACATAAAGGAGCCAAGGAATCCACTCTTAGGAGCTGTCGAATTCGGAATGCCTGGATTTCCTGAAGGCATTGGTACGCATGCGCACAACCAGAACGCAGCAAAACGCGCTCCGCAGATTTCCACCAATGCTGCCGTCTTTCGCAGTCCTAGCGGGGCTGCAGGAGCCCTCCACCTCGCCTCACCACGTAGTGCCCATCTCCCTGCCTCTCTCTGTCTCTTTTTTCAGGTCTTCCTATGTTGCCCAGGCCGGCCTCAAACTCCTAGATTGAAGCCATCCTCCTGCCGCAGTCTCCCCAGTTGACAAGACTACAGGCCATTGCTACAAAAACTAGTTTGAGAAGAGCTTTTCTTTCTTTCTTTTTTTTTTTTTTGGTACCGGGAATCGAACTCGGGACCTTGCACTTGCCAGGCCCGCGCTTATACCACTAAGCTATATCCCCAGCTGGAGAAGAGTTTTCTTGATACTTCTGGAGGCTGATCTGGTTTTCTTACTCTTTAAGTGACACAGTACTGTGTGATTGTGTAAGAAAGGTTAACTATTGAATAGATTTGCAAGCCAGAGCCAGGGGTAGTGGTGCACACCTGTAATCCCAGCATGGGGAAAGCTGAGGCAGGACGATCACCATGAGCTCAAGGCCAGCCTGGGATACAAAGCGAGTTCAAGGCCAGCCTGAGCTACATAGTGAAACCCTGTCTCAAAAAGACACACACACATACACACACACACACACACACACACACACACACACACAAAAGATTTGCAAGCCAGGCTATGGTACATGTTTATAATCTCAGTTTTCTGGGAGGCTGAAACAGGAGGATCACCAATTCAAGTTCTGCCTGTCTAAAAATAAATAAGAAAAGGGCTGAGAATGTAGTGCAATGCTCCCTGAATTCAATCCCCTGTACTGCAAACAATAACATTAACAAAAAACAAATTTAAACCAAAACCCAAATAACCCACTAGCTTTGTGGGGAGAAAACAGGTGGGCAAAACTGGTTAGTTGTTATGAGGTCTACATTGGAGATTTCAACCCATTAGCGTCCTCCTAAGTCCATGTTCTCTCTGGCTTCCTCTACCCCACCTGTGAAATAAAACTGAATCAGAGCATGTGATTTACTACCTTCCAAGTTCATAGGGAGAGCCAGGAGGTTCACTGCCTGAAAGGTTCTGGGACTGTGCTCTCCTTTCACATAAAAGACCCCAAGGAACTGGCTCCAAAAATAAACCACGCAAGCTTCACGCTTCTTCATGAATAGTGTTTCCTCCTTTAGAACAGGCACCTTTGTATGGGTACATTCCCCGCCAAACAGCCTTTCAGAAAAGACGGTTAAGAGCGATGATAAGCAGAGAGAGAATACGGGCAGAGTTTATAGTGCTGCTTAAAAGGAGCACGCCAAAATGCTGTTACAATAAACCACTCCATTTTGTGTTTTGTGTTTTTGAGGTGCGGGACTGAGGAGGGGTGTCAAAGCCTTTTAAATGCCCGGCCAGGGTGCTACTCCGAACTGCACCCCCCACCCATCATTCAGTGTTTAGTCCATGGAAGTTCTTAAGCTGAATAAATATCTACATGATATATACCCTTCTACACTTTCTTCTTTCTTGTAAGTATAAATCACTGTGACATACAGAAAAACTGCTATACAGATAAAAAGTAGTCTTGCGGGGTATGGAGGCGCACGCCTGCAATCCCAGCACTCGGGAGGCAGTGGCAGGAGGATCGTTGCGAATTTGAGGCCAGCCTGGGCTACAAAGTGAGTTCAAGACCAGCCTGAACTGCATAGTGAGACCCTGTCTCTAAAAGAAAAAAAAAAAAAAAAAAAAAAGTAGTCTTGATGAAAGGAAGAAAAGATAACTGATTTATTTACTGGAAAAATTTATGCATTACATGATATTCAGTTGGTAACATAAACCAAGATATAAGAATCGATAGATTGGCTTCTGGTTACTTTCTTAGCTTTCCCGACCACCGAATGCATGATGAGATCACACAAATACAAGCGCGTCTTCCACGGTTCTCCTCTAAGACACTCACCGAGGATTGTCCACAATAAAAAAGTAAAAACGACCAGCAATAATAAATTCATAAGAACTTTTTTTGAATTTAAAATAAATGCATGTGTCTTTGAGAATGTTTCATTTGAAGTTTGGACTTTTAAAAATAATTAACAAAAAAGTTTCTTCGATCAGTCTTTTAGGTGTGTATTCATATGATATTATAATTAGGTGGAAACACTTCACATCATTTAGCCCCGAAAGGCGTAACAATAAAACTGCAATTAAATGTAGGAATAGCTGAATCATTACAATAATCACACAGAGTACAAATCAGGGCTGGCCACACGAGACACGAATGTTAGCACTGCCAAGAAATACAGTACTCTCAGAATCATGTCTGATTCACCACATATGCAGAACCATGCAAATAAAAACACTGAGTAGATTACAAAAATGTCATAAAAGATTTTCAAAGAATTGTTTAACTGACGCTTAACAGTCAAACCATTGAGCTTAAAAATTCTGTGGCAACAACGTCAAAGTGATGTATTTCCTCTACTCTTTGCCGAACAATTGTATCTATGAACACAGCAGTGCTTCACTCTGTATTTCCATTATCACCAAATAAGCCTTTTTACACAAACTGATGACATTTCCCTTTACTTTATAGTTCTCCGGTCTTTATTTTAAAAAATGACCTTTTGAAAAGGAAAGCATACATTTGAAATATCTGTTTTCATTAGAGAATCATAATGACCAGAGAATCACTCTAAGAAAAATAAATTCCCAACAAGTGTTGTATAGTAATTAAACTCTGATCTCAGTGATCATCTGCCTCAGCAGTTTATCCAGGCTTCAGTTTAAACAGGGCAAATTTTAAATAACTCCAGAGGAAAGGGATAAAAATACAGTGAGAATAAGAGCCATGCATTCAATATGAAAAGGAGACCAGGTATAGGGGCAATGTCTTCACATTCCTAGTGGAGAGGTCACAAGAGAAATAAGATTTCTAAGGTGTTCGTAGCATGGACATAGAAAAGCTTGCCTGACATGAGCTATCTCATGCAAATGTCTTACATCATAAGCCTCGTACATGGTACTCTTGTCTTACACGAAAGGCAGTTAATTGCTTCTTCTCCTCTTTCTAAACAGAATATCATCTCTGAAAAATGCTCAAGTGGGGAACGTATCTTAATACTAAATACCTCTTTCGGTTATATTTTGCGTAATAGGATGAAAGCGATGTGTAGGGAAATCAGGTGTTAACGTAACAGGACAATGCTACCAAATGCCATACATTAGAGACCGCGGCAGTTCGGTTGGCATTTAAAGAAAGATGAATTGACCTTCTGACACTACTGCCAACAATGGGAAAGGTCACTCAGGAGCTACGTTGGTCTTGCGTGTCCACAGAAATTGAATTTAAGGTAACAAGTCGTGTCAGTACCATCCCTGGCCATGCTACCTACCGTAAGTCCAGTTCAACAGCTTTCTGAAAAATTATGTTCCCTTTCTTTGAAAACACTACTGTAAACTTTCTGCAATCTTAATTATAAGGATTATTTTAAAGCACTTTGGTTTCTAAACAAAGGAAACAAAAAGCAAACCTTTCAAAACTTCAAACCTTACCCTAAGAGTTTCTTTTAAACCTAGATGTATCTGCAATATCAACTCATCCATCCGTGGCACCGCGGGCTGAAGGAGCCAAGTTCCCTACTGGAAACCCGTCAGCATTCTGATGCATCTCTCTGACAGACCCATTCTATTTGTTGGCTGATTATAACAATAAAATTTCATATTCCTATCTCAGTAGAAAATAGATTTCATATCCTCATTTTTATGTTTCATAATCTTTATTGAAGAACTGGAGATGATTTATATCAGGACATTTCCACATTCTTAGCTTGTTTATGGGACCAAGGTTTCGTGCTTGTCTGAAGTAGCAGGTCTTCACTGTACAGGAATATTTTCCACAGCACGGAAAAAGCAAACGTGGAAGACCCTCTTCAGTAGAGATAAAAGTTGGGAGGCGTTCAGCCTGCGCCCTCCCTCTGCCCGAGGGACTGCATACCTATTCCTGAGGACATTTCTTTTCTAGACTCTGAAAACTGAGGCTTTTAACAGTAAAATCAATACATGGTGGACAAATTTAAGGATGTAATGATATACAGCTGGAAGGAAAAATAATACCAACAATCCTTTAAAAAAAAAACCCAAATATCTTGGAGAAGTTAAAATTGCTATCCTATTTTAAAGAATAAAATATGTATAAGTAGTCAGAACTACTTTATTTTTAATTTTAAAATAAAAGAAACGGGATTATAGGCTTGCAGAACAATACATTAAGATATCTTGCCACTGAATACTTACTAGACCACCAATAATATTCAATTTTTAAAAAACAAATCTTCCTTATAATCAATTCCGATGATTGACTTTTCATTGCTAAAAATCTCTATCCTAGAGTTAATATAAATCCTTCACCTTGAAGATTTCCTAATTCTAGTCTTAATGGTGTCTACAGCTGTTTCTATCTATTCTCTTTTCTGGAAGGCTACAATTATATCTCTTCTTCCTCAGATTAAGTAGGTATAATTTCTGAATCTTAATTCTTTAATAACTTTGTTTTCTCAAAGTTTTCTAAATTTCTTTTTTCAAAAAAAAAAATTAGAATTGGATATGTGACAGATTCTAATCAAACATCAATTGATTGGAAAGAGTCAGCCAAGGTTTTGCCAACCCTAAAGAACTCAGGCCAAAGGCCACCTATTTCTCCTGTTTACGTTGCTACCATTTTTTTTTTTTCCTCGTTTTTTTTCCGGTACCGGCAATCGAACTCACGACCTTGCGCTTGCCAGGCAGGCGCTGTGCCGCTGAGCTAAATCCCCAGCCCCGTTGCTACCATTTTGTACCTAGAAAAAAATCTTCAGGGAAAGCATTTCTGCACCTAACTATTCCCCTCAGCATTGTCATTGTGCTTACTTTTAAACACTGCCCGCTTACTTCGCTCACCACCGCGGCTGGCTGCCTGCTGCCCTGGCGCACCGCACCGCTTCGGCTCCGCACGCCTCTTCAATGAATCTGACCGAGCCCCCGCTTCTGGTTCTCACTAATTCTTCACCTTTTCAATTTCCTTTCGGGTCCTGATGTTATCTTTACAGGTACTGATTCTTACTGCCGCTATACATATCTGCTCATTTAAAATGCCTATAAATAAACATAAATACGGCTCAGTTTAAACTACTACACTAAATGACACAGTATTCTCTCTTGCGACTCAGGGAATACCACCTAATTTTGGGATGAAAAGGAAAATTTATTTCCAAGTGTCTATATCTTTTTGACAAACATCTACTAAAACTGGTATTTTATACAATTAATACTTCAAAACAAGCGTTTCCCACTCTGTTTAGAGACTAGTTTCTAACAGATTTAATGACGAGGGCCGGGGATGTAACTCAGCGGCACAGCACCTGTCTAGCAAGTGCAAGGTCTTGAGTTCGATTCCCGGTACCCCCCCCAAAAACCAGATTTTTGTACTGGAAGAAATAAATGCTTTGTACGCTTCTCGGCTTCCCACTGGGTCATAAACCAGAGGGAGGCCGGGAAGACAGCCGCGAGCCCTGTGGGCAGGAAGAATGGCTCCAGCCACGCAGGACTGTGGCCACGGTCCCATTCCACCAGCAAAAGTGGCAGGTGATGGGAGGGTGTTCTGAGGTCACGGTGAAGGCATGTCTTCCCTCAGGCACAAAGTCAACAGCAGCTAGCCCCCTTCTCAGTTCCAAACTCCACTCCAAAAGGAAAAGAAAGGGTGGGGTGGGTCAGCTCTCTTCCACTAAACGCACTCGAGAGAACCCAGTGTGTCGCTCACACTGCACCCGGCGGGTGGTGCGCCTGTCGCACGAGGGCTGTGCGCAGGGCCGCCAGGAGATACAGGTGGGATCGCGCGTTAGGAGCTACGGTCAGGACTGTGTGCAGGTCTGTGTTGTTTCTGCACTCTGACCTGAATCCCTGTCTTGGTGGAGATTTCAACTGTTTAGACCAAATTGCGTAAGAAATGACACTGATGAAGACTGAACTCTGTGAGGAGCGCAAAAGCTCTCGGCTGCTTTGGTAATAGTGAACACCGCCCTCCAGTGGACAACTGTCCGAAGCTCCCGTGTGTGCTTGATGACTGACCTTCGACGGACACCCTCGGGGCACCGCCCTCCACTGCTCAGCCCAGCGACTCTGGGATGGTCTCGGGTCGCTTCCTGCACTGGCAGGGAGGACCGTGTTCATTTGGAAGAGAAATTAGTCATACATGAAAAGGAGAAACCTTTCTGGTTTTAAATAAGTTAAGGCTACTGACAAAGACAAGGAACCAGGGCTAGGAGCCCTCAGGAGGGAAGCAGCCTCGGAGACTTCTCAGCTACGGGACCTGTTTTCCTTATTTGTCAGATTATGTGCAAAATAAATTTCTCTATGAAAATCCACTGCCTTAAATCAAGTCATAAAAGTTACCTAGCGGAATCTGTAAATTAACTAGGAACATGTCTTATCAATAGAATATAATGATTTGTAGGCACCTGAGTGTTTGTCAGAAGTAGACAATGAGCTAAGGTTTATTATCTATGTATTTTTTTTTTTTTTTTGGCAAGGACAATTCATTATGGAAAAAATCTAACAACAACAAAACACACAATTTTAATCAAAACCTGAACACCATCAGTGTAAGTTAACTAGCCAAAGCTACCTTACACCTCGCCATGTGTAGCTTTGTTCTTATACTGTTTAGCAGGAAAGACTTATAATAGGACCTTGAATTTGGAAGAAAGAAAACAACTCTGGTCATTAAATAAACACAGCATTTCTTCCCTTCAGACGATTTCGCCTCTGTAAGGTCCTCACACGCGGCCATACGTACAGAACAGCAGCACCATTACTTCTAGCAATGCAATTTAAAAAATTAAGGATACCCCCTGAAGCTTGAATAAGTCAAGGAATCATAACTTAGTCTCTTTCTTAGACTTACTGATGTCCAGTGAAGAAGTCTAGCTAAAACAAAAACCAAAACCAGCAGTTAATGAGCCACTGATTAGAAGTAAGTGCATAAACAATATCAGTGTAGCAGCAAAATACAGTTATTTTAACATTCTGACGCACCTCATTTATCGTCTTGTGCAAGAAAAATGACCACAGTCTGGCCAGTTCAGGACTTCAAACTAAATTAAAACTCATTGAACCGAGCAAACTATGCTTATTTGAAAATAAATGAATTAAATTCATCTCTCACAGAAATTATTCTTATAGGCATAAATCATACAGCAAATAAAGTACAAAACTAAATATCAATGACCAAAAAAATATGTCGCTGAATGTGGCGTGAGGACGGCTCATCTTACAATATGTGTTTTACATCGTCTTAGGTCTCTTATGCTATCGAGGGCAGGCCAGCCATCGGAGATCCACGCTTCATCCTTCTCCCCTTCGTTTTTAATGGGACTGAACTGGAGCCATCGGATTGCAGTTTTTCTGTGACCCAGAGACCACACCACGTTTGACCGCACCGGCTCTGTGCTTTGCGTTCCTCTCCTCGGCGTTCTCTCCTCTTCCAAGACGTCGGACCCGAGTCCACCTGTGCCTCTCCCAGCCGAGAAGAAAACACCGCTGGTCTGGCGGGGTCCTGCTCCGAGCCTCGGCCGAGGGGAGGTCGGGTGGCGGGGAGCCTAGGGGCAGGGCGGCTTGGCCAGACAGTGGAGCGGGGCGCACGGGGGGCTGGCGGGCGGCTGCTCCTCGGGGAGGGCGGCGTCAGGACTGCAAGGAGAAAGAGCTGTCAGCGGGACCCCGCACAGGCGGGAGCACGAACTCGCCCACCGGAGCATGCCAAGACAGCCGCGGCTTGCAACCGCAGGCATTCGGACCGCACCGCTATCCGACCTACTCCTCCAAGGCGGCGCTTGTCCGCTTTTGCAGTCTCCACACCAGCTGCGGCTCGAGCCCAGGGCCCTGCCAGGCACCTGCTAGGCCGGCGCTGCACCCCGGGCTGCACCCCTGGTCCTGATGAGCTGCTTCCCCCTTCCAGTGCATGCAGTAACTGGGGGTTCAGCAGGGCCGGGCATCCCACAGCCCGCAGCCTCCTCCCTCTCCTGAGCCGGACGGGGCTGGGGACACCCGGGCCGCGTGCCGAGCGCTTGTGCTCTCTAGGGCCGGGTTCAACGGGGCTGGGCGGGCTGCAGAACCTCCAGCCGCTCCCGGCCTGAGCGGTGGCTCAGTGGTGTTCAAAAAACAGGACTGCGAGAGGACAGCGCCTATGCAAGGCCAGGGCACCGCGGGGCGTAGGCGAATCGCAAAGAAGGATAAGGAGGCAAAGTCGCTGAATTTCCTAGTGTGCGCTACAAAACACGTTTGGGTGCGCATCCTTTACAACTGGGGTGGGGGGCACCATGGGGATAGGTTTTTTAGTTGAAAAGTTGGGTATTTTTCTTTTAAAAAGGTGTTTTCTTATATATTATGAAGTTCAGTAACAGAATTCATCTCTGCAAGGAGCGTCTGAGAAAATGAGGTTTATTTTATTTACTTAACTAGTTTTAAAAGTAGTATCACTGGAGTCATTAAAAATCAGTATAAAGCAGTTTGTTTTTTGGTTTTTCTGGTACTGGGGATTGAACCCAGGACCTTCAGGACCTTTGCACTAACCTACACCTCAGCCCTTTTAAGTTTTTAAAAATTTTGACATAGGGTCTCGCCGACTTGCCATGGTAGGACTTAAACTTGCAATCCTCCTGCCTCAGCCTCCCCAAGTGCCAGCATTATAGGCACGGGCCACTCCTCCCAGGAAAACAAACGCAAAATGTTTTCAGCCTTTGGTACTGAAATCACTCATGTGTCTCTCTTATAAAGTCATAATTTTGTAAAACACATGTTCTTCAAGTTTGTCTTACATTCCGAGCTCTTTGAACTGTTGTAATTTTTTTGGTTCTAGGGGTGGAACCCAGGGGCATTTTATCACTGAGGGAGAACCCAAAATTTTTTATTTATTTTTTGTTTTGAGACAGGGTTTTACTAAGTTGTCCAGGTGGGACTTGAATTCGCGATCCTCCTGCCTCAGCTTCCTTCAGTGCTGGGATGACAGACTTGTGCCACCACGCCTTCTTCAGCTGCCGTCAACTAAGTGTAAAAGGAGACAGTTTGCACAAGTGAGGATAACCAGTGTAGAAATCACTTCTGTGCCTGTCTTTAGAATGTGGTGACGAACATGAGCTCATTGGAGCTTCCACAAAAAGTTAAGAGCACACAGTTTTATTGATTGATTGACACGAGGTGGGCGCTGTACACACTCCTGTAATCCTGGCATTCAGGAGGATCATGAGCTCAGGCCCCGCCTGGATGACAGAGTGAGACCCTGTCTCAAAATCCAGAAAATAAATAAATGAACTAAAATACACCTTTTAAAAGTGGAAGAAAATAACGCACAGCAAGAATCCTCCTCGACCTTCCCACTAGAGTCAGGTGGTGGGAGACAGGTCGACTTACAGAAAGAACCTGTGGGCTTCCCCATGGAGTCGCAGGAGGAATTCCCTAACTGCTTTTTAGGGAACTGAACATGTGATGCAGCGTAAGTTCTAGGAAGTAGTCGAGGACGGGCACATGACGCAAGGACATGTTTTTGAAGACCGTGTGTAAGTCAATGCTCCTTCTGATAAAGCAGACAGGAATGTCCTGGGGCGCAGCTGAAGTGTCTGGCAAGGGCATATACAGGCTGCAGCCTGACTGGCCCGACAGCCGTGGTGACACGACTTGCACTATTTCAGAGGTAAAAATATTATACAGCACACTATTATCTTAAATTTGCACAAAATGCAATCACGCCATGTATATTAAGAATGTGAGAAACATTCTTGGTTTACAGGTTAAGCAATTATTTCTTTTTCTTCTTCTTCTCTTTTGGTCTTTTTTTTTTTTTTTTTTTGGCTCTTTTTTTCCAGTACCGGGAATCAAACTCATGACCTCGCACTTGCCAGGCAGGCGCTGTGCTGCTGAGCTAAATCCCCAGCCCTTATTTTGGTCTTTTTGAGACAGGGTCTCGCTGTACAGTTCCGGCTGGCCATGAGCTCACTTTGTAGCCCAGGCTGGTCTCAAACTCACAAAGTTCCTTCTGCCTCAGCCTCCCGAGTGCTGTGATTATAGGCATGCGTCAACACGCCCGGCAGCAAATTATTTAACTGTCAATATTTGATAAATTCTAACCATGTAAGGTACAAAATGAACTCACTTTCAGTCTCAATTGCTAAGGTTCTTCAAGAGCCCGTTTGTTAGTCCACCTTTACTAGAAACAATTTTACTTTTCACAGGAAAAGCACACTGTAAACTGAGCTTAGGAAACTGTCATTAAGACAAGCAGTGGGATACATCTTCAGAGAGTTTCTTTTTTCCCTTCCCTTTCCCGAGTCAACAACTACCTGACAGAACACCAAACTTCTCTCTATGCTTAAATATACCCCCACGGCTGTAACGCCTGGGGCTCTCCTTTCTGTTACGCTATTATTATCGGTAACAACCCTTTGTTGTGCAGTGGAACGCCTCTCGGTGTGAGCACCCTCGGCTCCATCCCCAGCGCTGCCCTGGGTGTTGGGGGCCCGGTCTCGCGAAGCATTTGGTGGAAAGTTTCTGTGGGAAACTCTCCATCTTCAGATGTGAGACAGCAATGTTTTGTTTAAAAAGCAGCACACCACAAAGGTAGGTGGGGATGGCGCGAGGCGCACAGGTGCCCGGGTTCCAAGAAACACCACCAAGGGAAGGGAAACGGAGGGACGTACGCAGATTTTCAAAACGAGAAGCAGAGAACACCTGATCTGAAATCACACCGTTTGGGCCAAGTTTCTCAGGAAAGAGACGTCCCCATGGAAAACAGGAGTCCCGAAGAGTGGTTTTCACACTTCACTCCCCCCAGGGAGTGGAAAAGGCGGGATCTGCTCCTCCACTGCAGGCGTCCCTAGCTCTGTCAGGTGCTACTGCAGGCCAGTTGCTCTCCCTCCCTAACCCGTAAGGGCGGGCTGTCCCTGAGGGCAGCTGCAGCAGGCAGTGCGTGAGGTCACCCGTCATTCCTCCGGTCTCTGCGCCTTCTCCAGCAGGGAGCCATAGGGCAGCGAGGCCCCTAACTCCAAGCACCTTTGGAAAGAAGTCTTTCTAGGTGCATCTGCACTTAATCAATTCTCTGCGTGGACCGCATGAACAGCGGGTCTTGTAAGTGTAACTGAATTTGTAATTCATGAACTTGCTGCTTCTTATTCCCTATGTGGAACTAGGGATTGAACCCAGGGCCTTTGCACTGAGCTACATCCAGAATACTTTCTATTTTTTATTTTGAGACAAGATGTGCTAACTTACCCAGAATGGTTGGAATTTTCAATCCTCCTGCCTCAGCCTCTTAGAGTGCAGAGCTTATAAGCAGGTGTGCCTGACCACACCTGGCTAAATTGCTTTTCTTTCAAGCAAATCTCCCTGTGGAGGCAGCCATCATTCTAAATTCAGGGATCTCAAAAGAGAAGGAACTGGGGCACATAACTGTTTAATGGAGCTTCTCAAAAGAAAAGCAAGCTGAAATAAAAGTAGAGGATATGATAAAAAAAAATGCAGTGGATGTTTACTTTTTAAGAAAAACTGAAATGTGTTACAGTAAAAGATACATTGCCACTGACCCCCTAAAAACACTCACTTTTGCTCGGAACACACTTATCCCACCCTTCTTGCCACTTTCTGAAAGATCTGAAAGATCTGTTTTGAGTGTCTTCAGTTGCACTATCCTGGTTGCTTCGAGGTCCTGAATCTTGTGAAACAGTTCCCTCTCGGGTCACTGTGACTTCGGGGAGCAGCCAGAGGTTGCGCAGGGCGGTCTGGGCGGGCAGTGGGTGACACACTGCAGGGTCTCAGGAGCCCGCCTTTGGCTTGGACAGTGCTCGCAGCAGCATTCACGACACTTGATTGCGTCTCACAAAGACCCTCAGGAAAGAGGGCTGCAGAGCTGCATCAGAAAGCAGCAAGAATGACGGGATAAGCGCGTTCAAAGTGGTGGGAAGTATTCTGAGGGGATCAGCGGCGCTGCCTCTTTTACTGTGATACACTTTAAAAATTTAAATGTCACTGTGGATCATACTTCATAAAATTAAAAAATTTTCCTTGCAGCCCTTCTATTTTCTATCTCCCTGGAACATCTAGAAGGGCAGCCTTCTCCAGCCCAGGCTCAGGCAGATCAGGAAGGTCATGAAAGAGACTGCAGACCTCCGTCTTGTGGGCTGCTTAGATGCGAGGGCTGTCAGTGCTGGTAACAGATTCTGCCGCCTGGCGTGGCCTAGCCGACCTCCGGCACCTGCTCATCCTGCTTTCCAGGGAAGATTCCGGAGGAGCCTTCGTCAGCAGGAGCAACTCTGCAGGCTCACAGCCAGTGGGTGCTGGAGACGGGACCCACACCTGAACCCTCCGCCTCTAGAGAGCGGGCATTCGCTCACATCCTCTGTGCTTCTCAAACGCCTGTCCGCCTGGCCCCAGTCCCGGGAGGTGGGCTTGAAGCCTTGCACTTGGTTATACTCGGCCTCATAGGTGAACTTAGGCCAGGGTTGCTGGCTGCGGAGAAGCTGGAAGAGCACGGCGGCAAGGGCTCTTCTGCGTAAGAGCCCTGTGTGTGGGAGTTGTGGGAACACCCTGCGCGTTACAGCTGGCAGCGCAACTGGCTCAGGGGCGGGGCACACATGGCTGCCCCGCTGCGCTGGCCGCACGGAGCCCGCAGCCCTGCTCCGGAGACGAGCGTCGAGCACGGGGCACACTCAGCCCGGGAGCGGAGCCAACCAGGCAGACTCGTGTGGAACCCAGCTGTCAGGGGATCACTGTAGACCTGCCTTTCAAGTTCCTCGGTTAATCTCCCCTAGCAGGGCTGCAAAGGTTTACTTCGGAACGTCAAAGACGAGGTTTTACTCCACCCCTCAAATTCAGCTTTCAGAGGGCCTGAGTGGAGCGGAAACAGAGACACTTAGGAGCGGTCCACGCCGCATACCTCCTTCTTTGCATGTGCCTGCCTGAGAAATACATCTAGAGGGCAAAAAGACAAAATAAACAGAAGGGTGGGACAGACTCCTCCTAACCCCAGGGGTACGCAAGGGAAGGAAGCTCTGCACCTCGCAGGAGGGAGGAGGAGGCCTCCTCTGCCGCCTGGAGGCCGAGATGCCGCGCCGCGTGCTCCCGGGGAGCGTGGGGCTTCGGCAGCCCCAGTGCAAATCAGATGCAGTGGGCCAGGATCGGGGACAGGAAGCTCCGTGTGGCGGGGAGGGGAGCTGGGCTGCGGGCCGGCATGCAGCTGGAGGAAGGGGACAGGGCGTGCATTTACCTGACAGGCGGGCAGTCTGGCCTCCTGGCTAGTTGTGAGCACTGTGGCGGTACGGAGGCAGCAGGCTGCTGACAATCTACAAGAAACTGATAAATTAGACATGTATACAACGCGAAGACAGCGCAAGGTGTTAGTAACAGAACTAGGGCAGCTGCCTGCGAGATTTAGTGAGGAATGCATTCACACAGAAACGTCCTGACCCTGCATGGTGCCAACAGGAAAGACAGGCTTTTTTGGTAATTAAGACATTAGTGACACAAAATTAGTAGCAAGATTTCTCAAGTAGGTTAGGACATATATATAGCCATTCACTAATGGTATTTGGTATTTCTAAAAATGATTTATTAACATAGGATGTTCATGTTCTGAATTTGAACATGTCAGTAGTTGTTTGCTTAGCACATGGATCTGTCATTCCCAAGCGAAGCTTACTCTGATAAGTAAGTTCATCGTCAGGACACATGGGCAAACTGCCAACTCCACAGGGAAATTGAGAAAGGCATGCATGCATTTTTTCCATCATTAAGGGAAGGAGAGTGGACAAGAGAATCATCTGAACTAAGTTTTCTGAACATCTTATATACAGAAAACAAGGATTGTTAGCTGAAATCTTGGCATCTTTATTATATAGTAAATTGTTCATAACTTGGACTAGTAGTGAAAGCTAGCCTGAGTTATTGGGAATTAGTTTTGTTTTTGCCACTTAAAGCAACACTACATGACTCACCCTAGCTTAGCGAAGTGCTAGCTAGTGGAAGTCCATGCGATAGCTGATCAGCAGATTAATCGTCTACACCAAGACAGACTGTACACTCAGGCTTCCAAATAAATCAAAGATCAGCCTGTTTGGTGGCGCCAGGTTAACTGCACTTGAATCATTCAAAAGGCTGGTTAGAAATGCGTGCTTTATATTTGCGCAAAAAGACCGCAAATCAGTTGAAAACAGTTTTACTAGGAAATCATTCTTAAGGGAGGCACTTCTTTTTGCTAGCTGCTTAGACTATGTACTTGCTTAGCAAATCCCTTTCGCTATGTGTTATGTGGGTAAAATTTAAGGCAAATTATCACTTGTGAATTTAGCAGGGATCCCTTGCTCTAAAGCCAATATATGCTGTAAACCTGCCTATATAACTCCACAATACCACGACTCATAAAAACTGCTGATGCTCTCGTGGAAGGTATTGTGAAATAAACTGAAACTCAATGCAAAGTAGAATAAAATAGAAGGCAGGCTTGATTTGAGCTTATTCAAGAGAGTATTACTGAAGGGAGCCTTTATACACTGGTCTGCGTTGAAGAGTAACTTATTAATTATTTATTATGCTGAGAATCAACAATAATTCCTGCTGAGCAGCTGATCTTCTGATGATCACATCAGTAAAGTCTTTCAAACAATTGTTTTCTCCGATTTCATTTTTTCTCCTTTAACTTCCATTTTGCAGCTTGATTAACTCCAATGATTCCCTTTTGTAGAAACTCAGAGTCTGAAGGGATGCATTCTTTTGTCTTTTTTTAAAAAAACCTTTGTCTGCTCCTTTTGGTTTTTCCAAGAGCTTTTCTGAGTGGGAATTTAGGCCTGCAACTAGTGTACGAATTTTGGTTTAAGTCAAGCAGGTGTGTGCTGCCCTCCTGCGGCGTGTTTGGGTAAATACAATGATGTGGAGAAACGAGGCCCCGCGGATGAAGACAAAATGCTTTCAAAAAATGCTTTCACAGCACAGCAAGGGCCTCAGCAGGGCAGCAACCCCGGAGCTAACGACAGCATGAAAATGCGAATTTCTCACACATGCGGAAACTCGCCATTCTTCATTCAAACATGTTTTGTGAAAAGTGAAGGCAGCAGGTGAGCAGGTCCACAGTGCAGTCTTAACGAGCTGCTTACTCTGTGGCGGTTATTCTTTATTTCCCCCTTTTAGTACTGGAGATAGAACCCGGGGTCTCAACCTTGCCCCTGAACTACATCCCTAGCGCTTTTCAATTTTATTTTAAGAAAGAGTCTCCCTAAATTGCCCAGGCTGTCCTTAAACTTGTGATCCTCCTGCCTCAGCCTCCTAGAGGTACAGGCATGGCCACTATTCCTGCTGTGGTAGTTACTCTTCACACTGGTGGTGAACATCATTTTCTCCTTTCTCCAGCCAGCTACCATTATTTTACTTTAAAACTTTTTTTCATTCCTGGGATTGAACCCAGGGTTTCGCGCATGGTAAGCGAGCGCTCTATTGCCAAGCGGCTGCCGCCCCAGCCCTACATGGATCCTGCATAAGCGCTTGGGTAAGAGTCCGCAAAGACCCAAAAGCCAACTCCCCAGAGGGGCTGTGACAGGTGAAAATATTAAACTAAAATCGCTGCTCTGACGCAACAGTCTCCTAACCTCCTCCTTCGGCCCAGGGACCCGTGATGCTCCCGCCAGCCTTGCTGGGCTGCGGCTGTGCCTCGCGCGTGCTCTGTGAATGGAGGAGGTGGCTGCGAGCTGAGAGGTCCCTGCCGGCCCGGGCACCCCCTGCACGGCCGCGCTCGCTCTGCGCGGACCTCCTCTGCCGCCTGCTCTTGGGGGGATTGGGCTGGGGGGCAGGCGATGAGCCCGAGACCTACAGGGCAGGCACCGAAGCGGCCCACAGCCACTGCTGTTGCGTGGCTACGCGCCGGTCATCCGTGACGAAGGTGTAAACTTGTTACGTGTGAAACTGCTGGGCAGAGGGGGCAGAGGGGAGCAGAGAAGGCAAGGCCCCTGCTCGGTGAGAAGACACAGTGACGAGCGATACAGCGACGCCATGGTTGTGGCGGTGACAGCGACGACGGAGGAGGCAGGACGCCCCGCGCTCGTTTACAGCTTCCCGGCGGCAGCCACTGTGCAGGGGTCCGGCGGGCGTGCTGCCCTCTGACCCTGCCTTACCGGCCCCCCTGTACAGCTCAGGAAGGACTGGTGACGTGACTCGGTGGAGGCCGTCTAAGCAGCGGAGAGAGGGTCTATGCTGAACTCGCAGACACATCCCCGTGCTGTTCCTGCAGCCGAGGCATGACGGGCTCTCTCCGCAGAGATGAACAAGGTTAGGTGGACTGCACCAACTCCTGGCGAGGAACTCTGAGCTGCCGGGAATGCTGCCTGCGGACGGACCCCGAGGCCGCCGCCTCCAGCAACTACAAACTGATCAAGGTCTCTACGGATAGGAACGCGGCTGCTCCAAACGATCAGAAACCAGCTAGCTAACAGCCGTCAGGCGCAGGCCTGAACTCCAGGGCTTGTCAGGGCTGCCAGGATGCAGCCAGCGCAGGGGGCACAGGGCTGCGGTGGAGCCAAGCCCCGCGGGTCTGCAGAGGCCGCAGGAAGCGTCTCTCCCTAGCCAGAGACCTCGGGGAGAAAGGGTAGAAAGAGACGAGAGCCTGGGGTGCAGCTCGGGGGACAGCACGTGCTTAGCGTGTCCAAGGCGCTGGGTTCACATCCTGCTCTGGAGGATGAACGGGGAGGGGGAGGAGGGAAGGGGAAGAAGGACAGGAGGACAAGAAACGCGGGGCTAAATCTACATGATGCGCTCCTTCCTATAAGCTGCCTTTAGTCATCTGTTCTAAGGGTTAGTAACACCCTGGAATTTCCATTTCACCACCCCTCCAATAGAGAAAAGATATATGGGTCTATATCAAGGTCTCCTACATTGAGCCTGTTTTTAAAATATATATAGTAGAAGACAGGCGGACGACCATGCACGCGTGCAGGGCAAGCTCTCTACCAAGTCATCATTTTTCATGATCTCCCTCAAGAAACAGAGGTAGGGCTGCGGATGTGGCTCAGTGGTGGAGCTCTTGCCTGGCATGCACAAGGCCCCGGGTTCGATCTCCAGCACCACAAAAAGAAGGAAAGAGCGGTGCCCTCACAGAGGTGCTCCCCACACTCCCGCGGATTAATCCGTGCCAGCTCCGGGCCCTCGCCCGGCACCAGGACTCGGCAGGTGCGGGTGACTCGGCTTCTGGTGCCACAGCCCGTTTCTCACTCCTGGCCCGGCTGCCTCTCACACGCTCACGGTGACCTTCAGGAAGTGTCCGGCCAGGGCCAGGCCCACCTCGAAGGCGGTGGAACAGCTGGCAAGCCCGAGGCGGTGAGGCCCGGGATGGGGCCACCCTCTCGTTCTCATGAAGACGCGCTGAGAATAACGAAGGCGCCGGCAGGGAGAGGTCTTGGCCCGTGGCTTTCCCTCGGACTTCTATTTTTAAACCTTTAAACGCACTTTAGAAAACGAACCCATCTCCCCGAAGTCGATCCCCAGGGAGTGTGGCGCCCACCGGTGTCGGGGGGATGGAAGGGAGCTCCGGGGTGACAGGGCCGTGTTTTGGCTCCGCCCGGGCGGAGTGTGGCTCTGGGCGCTCTGTGGGCGCCTGCGCCGTCAGGACAGCAGCGGCTGCGGGTGGATCCGTCCCTTCCTCTCCCGACTCCTGCTTCCACACCCGGCTCCTCCCGCACCAGCTCTGCCGAGGGCTGCTTGCACCCTGCAAAGATGGTGCCCTCCGGTCTGTGTCCCTGGGGCCAGCTTCCCTCGCTGACCCGCAGGCTCCCTGACCAGGTCCCGCTCGGCGGAGAGGACAGCGAGCGTGCGCGACGCCCGGCCAAGAGCAGCGGCCCAGTCTCGCCTCATCGGAGCCCCCCAGCCCTTCGGAAACAGCAGGGGCAGCATCTGGGGACACCACGTCCGCGGCTACGTCACCCCGACTCCCGTTCACAGCTGTCGCCCTCAGCTTGCGCGCCCGCCCTCTCCCACGGGGCGTCACTCCTGTCCTTCGCACCCCGCCGCTCTGCCTCAGCTCTGCCCACGGAGTGCGCTGCCCGGATCCCTGCACGTTTCCTTCCCCTCCCACTTCTTTTTCTCTCTCAGTCAGAAAATGTGTTACTTGTGACCTCGGTGTCATTATCTAAGATTAACCCCTAATAACAGGCCAGGCGAGGTCAAGGCTGTATTTCACAAACACCAATCTATGAGTTTACACGGGCCAACCAGCGGTGAACCCAAACAACAGCACCGTCATCTAGACTCCATTTCTCTTTAGTCCCAGGAACACCTTAGACCAGGTAACTGGTTGTTTGCCGAA